TCAAGAAAGCACTAACTCTCCAATTTTTGGTGGCTGGAAATGCATAAGAACGTCTGCTTTGAGGTCGTCGTAAAGGATCTCCACCACCTTTTTGCCGCTCTTTTTGTCACAGCTAGGCGCAACCTCTCGTAAATTGCATCATCGTGTGTATATTCTAATAGATTCTGCCTTTCATAAAAACGTCGTAGTCTACGTTGCCGTCTGACGGTACAGATAGCAAGAAAGGTCGTCACCATATTGGATACAAAGACAAACGACAGACAACGGTAACTAAGCAACCTTTTTATTTCACTCATTACGCATGCGTACGATGAAACTCTAGAGTTAGCGACTGGTCTGACCAGTCGTTAAATATCCAAGGCAACAACGAGACAATAACGAGCGAGAGAACTAGCGACTGCTTCGTGAAACGGCACTCTAACTAGCGAGAGGCTAACTACCGATCGCTAACTAACTACTGCTTTGTGAAACCGGCCCCAGAGGTGTACCTCCATTGTGACGTCATCGTGTGTAATGCCACTGGCCGGGACAGTAGGTGTCTGCGCCCCAGTGAAGGGTACGCCTGTCCACAAAATGGCGGCAGGGGGAAGAGAGCGGTACCTGGTGACGTAGAGGTGTACAGCCTGGTGCAGGGACCCGTGTTCGTCCAGAAAGAGAACCCCGTAGCAGGTAAGGCATTTTTTTATCATTCAAGCATGGAATTGATAAGTTAAGGGAAACTTGATCTTTATCACATTGTTTTAATTAAGCGTATTGGACGCGTTTATGTGATTTGTTGACTGACCACGCCCACCTCTGCTGCTTTAAAACGCAGTGCGTGTATGATGAACGATACGAAGCAGACCAACCCAGTTGTCCACCCCCTCCCCACATTAAATGACCCTTTTTAATGTTGTTTTGTATTTCATTAGAAAAGAGAGGCAGATGTACCCCTTTCCTCTTTTAACCAAATGCTACAACTTCTAATGGTTGACTAGTGTATTGAATGTGTTGAAAAATTCCGTCTTTGTTTTACCAACTTTTGCCGTAAAAGACAAGAGGACGGCGAAGAAAGTGCCCAGGCACCGGCCTCGACTACACTTGGAGCCGGCGTCATGGCTGTCAGAGCGTGCGTTGTTGTCATAGTAGCAGTGATTGTAACATGCAAGCGCAGATCATCCAATGCTGATTACATTCCAGTGAGAACCGATGAAATTTGGATTTCATTGCATTAGTTGTGCTACGTTGCCACCGGCTTTGAAAACGTAAATATATATATATATTTCATTTTGAAAAGGTTTATATCCGATAAAATGAAAAACATTTGAAATTAATAGCTTTTTGGACTATAAACGTGCTTTTTAATTGAAAGAAAACACAGTGATTTGAACACCCAAACTTAATTGCAGTTGGATTATGATTTTGTACACGTATATAACATTGCACAAAACAGATATACCAGTAGGTCCTTATATCAACAGTTCATGTTTGTATTTTCTCTACACAAAGTGATTTGTAATCGGGTAACAATAAGAATTAGAGACTTAATTGTATTTTGCCAATGGTATCAGGAGTAGAAGAGAGGGTGACTGTAGATGCTTGCTCGGGAAAACACGAATTATTGTAGTATTCCTGCTAATGCGTTAAACGTTTCTATCTAGATTTGAAAAAGTTTGGATATTCCTTTTTACAGGTACTTTCTTTGTTTTATTATTATTATTATTATTATTATTATTATTATTATTATTATTATTATTATGAGAAAAGACTAGTTTGTTCCTTGTCTTTCTACACTAGCTCCCCATGGTCCGTCACCATGGATGGAGCAATTATCCATAGTGTATCAACTTTATTCTCCGTGATATATATATATATATATATATATATATATATATATATATATATATATATATATATATATATATAAAAATATGGGTCATATTTCACACGAAAGATGTTATTTTCTTAATTTCCCAAAGGAACTTAATTAAAATATTATTTAATAAATAAATGATGCGTTTTCATTGACTGTCAGTGTGTGTGTGTGTGTGTGTGTGTGTGTATGTCCGTGGCATCGCTAATTTAGGCACCTGTTTAAATATCATCCTTCTTGGCAAAGAGGGAAGCTACCAATATTTACTCTAAATGCCATTTTAAATAAATCATAACACTAAATACTTGCACTAATAAACCTGTAGTTGACCTCGTATTAAAATTGGAATCATATTCAAAAGCAACAAATGACACAATCCAGCTGATGCGCATAAATCTGACTTCATCACGCCTGGCTGCTAATATAATGTTCTCATTATTTTACTGATCATGAGTTGTACGTAGTATTGATATGCATTAACCAGGGGCGGACAGTCTTACAATTTATCTTTGTTGATCCATCCTCCATTTTTGACCGTCTTCTGACAGAAAAAAAAATAGATACCCGTCAATGTAAACTTGAAAATTTGACCCAGAAGACGCCCTAAATCCGCCCCTGTTAACGATGATTTCACAACACTTAATTAGTATCGCAACACTCGTTTTTAACTTCATTTCGTTTTTTCAAATGATATATTCATTTTCCAAGTGAACTGGGGAAATCTAAACAAAAAAGCAAAGCGGAATATAAAAAAGTCCTCTCATGGCGTCACACATCTAGTCCAGCTCCTGGAGTTCACCGTTGACTATACAGATGCGGGGCCAGAAGTAAAACCGTTTGGTGAACGACATGGTTTCCATGCTGGACACCTGCTGGTACTGACCTTGACCTTGAGTCCTCATACTGGCAACCCAGTTGTTCACCTGAAATACCACAGGCAAAAAGTGATATAAAATACCAGATACACGTTACCATAACAATACCTGTAGCAGCAGTGCAGTGATGAGTTTAAGATTACCTTGACATTGGACCTGAATGTAGAAAAGAACAATTTGAACGGCAAGTGTACAATAATGATTTCTTGAAATAAAAAAAACAACTCAATGATGAATTCTCTTAAGCATTACAACGCCCAAAAACTAAGTACTATTCCAATATTCAGTAACTCTGATTAATCAGCTAGAAACTAAATAAAAATAATAATAACTATACTGCAACTGGCTTAAGCCAGTGGCAGAGGATTCCCCCTGCAAAATAGGTGTGGAAATGCTCTAACAAGATCATGTGAAGGTCATGGGTTAAATTTGACCCCTTATTCTGAAAGGGCATGTGCGAATTGGGGTTAGGGGGTCGACAAAACATCACTTTTAGCCCACTTCAATATTTCTCCATGAAATAGCCGAATGACCTTGAAAATGAGGGTCAAGGTCAAATTTGACATTTGATTTGGGGGTGTTGGGTATATGTTTGGGGTAGTTTACCTTAGCATGTTATCACAAAAAATCAGGATTTCATGGAGAAATTGACAAAGTCACTGTTTCTGTGAAATTATTAATATTTAAAAATCTATATTAAAAAAACGAATCAGTAAATTGTCAATATTATTAGCGATTGCACTAAATAGATATCGAGGGCAACTTTTAACATCATCCTTGTGGCTCTGTGACATCTGGTTTACCCCCTGCCGACCTGGAGCATTTTTTGCAATAGGTTGACCTTGACCAGACCTACTTTCGTAACATTAGGTCACTTGACACAGAATCATTGTGTGACCTCACTTATGAAAGGATTTGTCAAAATATTGAAAATTCTAGGAGATATTGCATTTTGAAAGTTGCAAATGTTTCATTTTAAAAGGCTGTGACCTTGAAAATTAGGTCAAGGTCAATAAAATTTGGTGGACCGGAATAACTTTTCATAGGTTATCAGTATTTTTTTTTCAGAATTTTAGAAAGAAACTTTTTGACGAAAAAGAAGAAGAAGAAGAAGAAGAAGAAGAAGAAGAACAGCAAAAACAATAGTATTCCCCTATGGGGAATCCTAATAATAAAAAAATAATAAATATAACACAGTTAATGACGTCCTTCAGCATGTAGTGGGTCCCCAATGATATCGCACACTCTGAAAAAAATTCCAACACTTACTGAAGTCAAGAGCTCCAGAAAGTGTTTACTCCTCGCCTCCTCACTGAAAACTCTGACAATGGCGTTGATGAACCAGGAACCGTTCTCCTTATTTCTCCAGGACACGTAGTCTGAAATGAACCAATGTACCGGTATAATTGAACAACAAAATTCAATTGAATTCAGTCAAAAGATATATTATATTGTGCATTGATTCAAAGTAAAATACATATATAACCACAATTAATATCTGTCAAGATGGGGGAAGACTAATAAAACATTAAACAGCAACATAAGCGACTTAATGTTTTTTTTTTAATTACATAAATAATAAATAAAGAAACTAATTATTTGGGTATGAAATCCACGTTCTGTTTCCTGTATATAAGAATTTTTGCCCACCTGGTGTGGTTGCCGTGGCAACCGCGATGTCACACATATTGGCACCAAATTTGGACTCTCGTCCATTGCAGCGCGCCCGCCCAAAATCAGACTGACCGCCATCTTGTCTCATTGTTAGAGGGACGGAGCCCCTTTCGACTCTACTGTCTTTCTTTGCTGGAAGAAAAAACAAAAATTATATATATATATATATATATATATATATATATATATATATATATATATATATATATTTATACATTTTTTTTTTCATTATTTTTCAAGTTATAAAAAGCAAAATTTAGTCATTTACCGAAATACAGTCAACTGCGATATTTAATAATAAATCTAGAATATGTTTGTTGACAACATAAAAGTTCTCGTATTCTTAGTTTCGGTCAACAAACAATTTCGTTCCAAGAAAAGACTTTTTACAAATTATATTAACCAGTTTGCAAATGCACTCATACAATAACTATCCTGGAATTGACTTATTGATTTACTTCCTTGGCACGCCTGAATAAAAAACATTTTTGGTTTTCCCGCCAGGGCGGGGCAGCTGTGGGTGGTAAAGTGCATGTAGATCATACTGTACGGCAAGCTGTAGCCATCTGTCCCGTACACTGAGTTACTCATACCGTGACTCAGAATGAAGACGATGAAGGAATCACTAGGCCAGTGGCTTGTTGGCTTTCAGTCTCCATCACATCAAAGATCCCCTTAAATTATAACAAACATAATGTACAGGTTATAAATTATTATATACTGACTGAAACGATTGAATAATACGTAATATAATTGTTTACTAATTCACATATATGTACACAAATAAAATAACAAACAAACATGCACGCACATACACGCATCCTCGCACATACACGCACATGCCCAAAAATGCGCATGTACAAACACGCGTACACAAACACGCACACACAGACACGCACTGAAAAAAGAACGAAAGCACACACACACACACGTACGCACACACGCACACCAGCTCACCTGAGCGGTCAGATCATTATGCACAATAACAGTATAACTCATCTGTTCCATCAGCTCTACCAACGCCTTACAGTCCATCTCAGACCCGACCCTCTTCTCATGGTAGTGGAAATTGATGTTGTTGATGATTATAGTGCGCCCACGCGGCAGGCTACAGTTCCTGTAGACCTGAAAGTAGACAGCATAGTGAGATTTTAGCCGCAATTAGAAAAGTGAACTAACTGGTCTGCGGGTCAAATATGGCCGACCCACTTGAACACTTCCCCACGGTGAATCTATTCAGTGTTTATTAGCGGAGTAGACAGCAAGCTTTCATGATCAGAAATGCGCAGCATTCACGCGATACGCGAGGGCGCTACAGTAGGGCTTCACGTGACTCAACTAGCCAATCACAGCACAACAATGGCATCGCACACAGACCCTGTGATAAGTGCTCAAGGAGCAGCCCATTGTCAAGTAGTGTTTGTTCATGGTAACAAGCGTCTGACATGTGCAGAGAAGTTTATTGTAATATATATTGTTCTTATTGTTACATTATTAAATCTAAATCTGTATCCAAGTAGTAACTATACTGTACCAAGTCAGGTACAGGTGATGTGCATATAGGTCATATATTCCAGTATATTCCAGAATAAGCCATTACCACTAATTTATAACTTTTATTTTTGTTTAATATGTTATTCATGAAAGAGTTCATGAAATATTATGTTAAATTGTTAAATCGTGATCTTATTCTTTTTATATTCAAATAAATGAATAATTTGGGTTAAATTGGTCTTCCACTTCTTTTTTGCATTTTTTCCTTTACTACAAGATTATTTTGGAACAGTTGCAGCATTAAAAATTAAAATAAATAGCAATCTGAAAGAAGAATTTTGCATAATTACTAAATGATGATGGGAATTTTGGATTAGAGATTAATTATATAGTGATATTGTCAGTCAATTTATGTAGAATCTGATAATATGATTGAAAATACTGACTGAATACTTGGCCTTGCACTGGGCAGTTTTAAATTTGTGCCAAGTGCTTTTTTTTTTGTGGACTCCATTGTACAGTGGTAAAAGTTCTTCAATTGCCATGAAAGTTTTTAATCAGACTCTGTATGGTGCTGCCATCTGCTGGTGCTATCGGCATCAGATTAGTTTGCCTTTGTTTCTGAGTGAATCTACTGTCTAAAATCACTATTTCTAAAAATAATTGCATTTTGCTGAGGGTAGGCTAGGCAATGCACGGCAAACTTCTTAGTACGTGTGTACAACATAATTTTTTTAAAAAAACCCTAGCGATATTTAGTCAGGAGTTGCTTGAAGCATAGTACAGCGTTGCTGTCTATCGGCATCAGGCCGTTAGTTTGTCAATTATCACGAATTACCCACGAATCGCGAACCCATTCATTTTCCTATGGCAATCTAGCAACTCATTAATTATGCACGCATGCGCAGTGGGCTAGGCGTGACGTCATGCAGTGCATTTCTTGGGATGTTAGTGGGTCGCCATATTTGACGCGCAGACTAGTTAGCCCACTGTAAGGAATGCCGCCTTTTTAACAATGGTATTTACTTAGAATGCTGTTAAACATTCGCACTCTTAACAACATTTTTACCTGTAAAACCGTTAAATGCCCGAACCATCTACAGCAACAGTACGTACCCAGCAGGCATAGTTGCGTTGGATCAACGTTGAAAACAGGTTGATACGTTGAATTGCCGTTGATCTACCTAAATTCAAAGTTAAATCAACGGTNTATATATATATATATATATATATTAATTTAAACCTTGGGAATTTTAACTTAAAGGCCATACATTTATACCCTACATATATTTAGCCATCAAACATGTCCTACTGCTAATTTCCCCGCTGGGTGGGGTTGATATAACATTGTTTTCTGACGTTGATACAACGTTGTTATCTGAGGTTGACACAACTTGCAAATCCAACGTTTATTCAATGTCTTTTCAACGTTATGGTTCAACGTTGTTTCAACGTTAAAACAACATAATTTGCCCGCTGGATAGCAGTGACGAAGACGAAATGCAGAGAGACATAAAGAGAGAGAGAGAGATAATACTATAAGAGGGAAGGAGGAATGTTGGAGAGAGAGAGAGAAGGTGGGTTTTACACACATCGTCCTTGTAAGCTTCCTCCATGAAGAGAGAATGATCGGCAGCTCTTAGACAAAGTGACGTCACCGGCAGTTGAGGCACGGCTAAAATCAACATATAAAGTCGAGTTAGTATTCCTTGAATTGTTTTTAATCTGATGTTTTTTTTCCAGGCCTCTTTAAAGACTTTTGTCAATCGATGAACATACAAATACATTTATACATTAACAAAACGATATATATATATATATATATATATATATATATATATATATATATATATATATATATATATATATATATCCATGTACTTTTATTTACAAATGATCAGCTCACATGTGTAAATTGTTATAACTAGTGCTTTTTTATTCTAGATACCATGTCTAACATGATTAATGGTTAAAAAAATACAAAATAGTAGGAAAATATATATACATTTTATACCATTTAGTCAAATTTATAACAGGTACCCCCTCAAATCCTATGTTTCATTGTGATTTCTACAGATGTAAAGAAATGTCTATTAAATTGAAAAGACGCCATCAAATGTGTATATTCACACCACTATTTTTTGAACCATTAATCATGTTAGACGTGGTATCTAGAATAAAAAACACCGTTTATAACTATATACACCTGTAAGGTGATCATTTGTAAATAAAAGTACATGGAATATATATATATATATATATATATATATATATATATATATATATATATATATATATATCATGAACCAACTGCTCTACTGGTGGATTGATAAATTCATTGACTGTTCGACTGAACATACCTCTGGCCTGGAATTGATCAATGCGGTCATAGGTCACGATGTATTCTGGGTAACACTGGTCCGCCGTGAACAGGAGGAATTCCCGGAATAATTTCCTGGTATCACATATCACGGAGTCGAAGGTCTCGTGATGGTCACGACAAATCTTCTCCCCACAGACGCAAGGCGGCCTCTTAAATACCTGCTGTTCCTCGCAGTGGTAGGCATTGCCGAGAAGAACGCGGTAAATTAGGATTTGGAGGTCTTCAGTTCGTCTGCTGTCCATCTCGTCTGAGTTGAAACAGAATTAGGCAATTCAGTACAAGGAAAATGTTTTGGTTATCCGATGGCTTATAAAATACGAATAAATTGGAATTATTCTTTATTTTATTATTCAAATTTATCTATTTATTTGTCTAATTTTTTGTTCTGTTTTGCTGAAAGACCCCTAAAGGCAAAATAAGTATACATGCATAACCCTTCTACTTAAAAGTTATTAAAACGACAATAGTGATAAGAAACGACAATAAGAAAACTAAAATGAGCAGTAGTACGCTTATTCTTACGTATGCGTACTCCATGCCCACCTCGACTTACCTGCGTACTGATCCGCTTTGGTGGCGCTCTCTGTCAGATAAATTGCTCGACCAAACATTCCTTTGCGAGCAATCCTGAAATCTGGCCCCATAGCGCATATAGATGGGATGTTTGCACTCTTTGTTCCATGAAATAAGTACTGTTCATTGATGTCCTCATTTAGTGTATCTAATACAGGGGATTCGGTCTCGACAGTCATGGGCTTTTTCATTGTGGGATCCACGTAATAATAAGGTTTTAAGCGGCCCTGTGTTCGACGTAAGCGGTGCTGCCGCTTGGTAGTTTTATAACGCTCAAGTAAACCTTCGTTTTTGATGACCTCGACTTTCTTAACCACAATATAGGTGTGGTCAAGGTTTCGTGTGTCTTGCCCGCGCCCTGTTTTTTTGCTTTGCCACGTTCCCTGAACCAGCTCTGTGACGGCGCAGGAAGTTTCGGGGCTTGCGTCCTTTATAAAGTACGCACTATGGAAAGAATTTGACAGGAATTCAGTAAATTGTTTGTATTTGGGTTTCTTGCGTCTTGAAATGTTTAACTGACTTGAGAGCGTATCTGGTAAACCTCCAGGAAGATCATAGCTAGACGTTGAGGCACCAGGGGAATCCTGGGCATTGTGATCTGTCGAAAAAATGCAACAAAAAGCTGTATCCAAGGGTTCGAAACGCCTTCTTAATACTAGTGGCTGATTATCTTCCATATATAAAATAAAACAAAATAATATAGATGACCAAATAAATAAATAAATAAATAAATAAAATAAAGTAAAAATAATAAAAAAAACAACAAAAAATATAAACCGCAAGATAGACAACACCTCAGCATATAGGTCAATTTAACAATTTATTATTAATAAGCTAACATGAGTCTAACAAAGTACAAAATGGAATAATAATTACTAGTTCTATCTGTTATCATACAACATACACGTACTTAACATTAAACTTCGCTCCTGTCGCTCGAAAAACCATCTCACATTTTCCAATCGATCTAGTTAATTTCTACTAAAGTAGAAAAACTGTAACTTGTCAGGAAGCGAGTATGGTGTCTTACGTCTCAGATAATGTTTTGAATGTTTATTTAAATGACTCAATAAATAGAAGACCCCATTCCCATAGATATTTAGATCGATCTATTCCCCTGGGGTCTCACTAGATTGGTGTCAGCTTAACCGGCTTAAATGTCTGTCCCGCCTACTAAAAGTCGTAAGGGGGTAATAAACTGTCGTGCGCGCTCGGCTGACAGCAATTTAGCGTGAACCCCCAGGGAGTTAGGTCGATCCAGATTGATCGATCTAAGAGCGCGTTCCCAAAGATTTAGATCGATCCAACTAGATCGACCTAACTCCCTGGGGGTTCGCACTATATTGCTGCCCTGGGAATGCATGTCCTGGGTCGCCCATTCCTAGGAACGCATGTCCTCGGACATAATTTCCTGGGATTTAAAGTCCAGTGGACACCCATTACTTAGTATTCTAAGTCCTGCAGACAAGTATCGATGTCCTAGTCGGACAAATTTTCCCAACTAGACTAGTAATAGATGCCCTCTGACATTTTCATATGAATGATGTGTTAATTTTAAAACATTAAAACGTGATGTTTAAGAATGTTATTACGCTTATTATAATTATTTGTATACATGTACCCCTGTACACACTTCATTCGGCTAACAAAAGATACAGTATTTTAAATACACGAAAAAAATGACTACAAATTAAGATTAGATTTAGGATATATATATATATATATATATATATATATATATATATATATATATATATATATATATATATATATATATATATATATATATCATTTTATTTCCGATTAAATATGAAAAAATATGAGATTCGCGCCATTCACTGCACCTTTTGAAATATCTCTTCACATTAAATTAATGCCTTAATTGTTGTTTATCTGCCATTCACATACAACTGTATGTCTGGGGTACACAGCTTTGGATTTTGGCTCATACCCATTTCTAACCAATATGTTTTTTGTCCTTATACACATCACATTATACGTCTTACGGGGTGTTTTTCGGTGAAATACGGGTGTGTGAAATAATACACAGCCACCCTCTCGCGATATACTCATTTACAATTACGTGTTGAACACTTCCTCGATGGGGTTCGAGCTGTTCTGGAACTGGTAAACATATTGTTCGGGTGACAGTTAATTATTTCATACTTGGCGCCTTGATAATCACTTAGAATATTTATAGTTAGAGAAACATCATATGCAGTTTGAGAATGTTAATGAAACGTGTATAATTGCATGATAAATAAATTGAATGTGTCTGTTATTGTTTATATATGCATTTTACTATCAGTCTTAACATTTTTCACAGGGTATTTTTTGCCTTTCATATGGATCCCGAATTTCCCATTTTAATTCTTTGGATTTTTATATTACAGTAGAAAGCATATGCTTTTATGCGTCCACCTATCCAAAGAAATTCGACCACGGGCTCGTACAATCTCCCTTGAGTTTATTAAAGGAATTTTAAAATATCTCATCGTTAAAAAATGATGATATTTAAATCAAACATTTAATATCTCGCCTCATCAAAATAATCCAAATTGTATAACAAAATAAAGTGCGTTTAGTTCGTTGAAAAGGATAATAAATTGGGATAACACTTGCATATAGAGTAACATCGCTGCTGAGGATTCGAACTCACTAACGTTTCTTTACGATGTTGGTTATCTTATCCAGCCGTCTTACTCATGAGCCTATGTGGAAGCTGCTGCCAGCGAAATCAAAATTACCGATACTTATGGCGTCGTGTTTATCATTGTTGTACGGACATTAACTATGCAGGACTTGCGTTTCTGTGTATATGTGAAAGGAAATTATGTCCGACAGGAATACATGACCTAGCTGCGTATAAATAGAGCTGGGAAACTAGGTCCGGGTAGGACAGTACATCCTAGGGAACGCACGTCCATAGGACATGTTTTCCCAGGAACGGACCTTCATTCCTGGGGAACATGCATTCCTTTCACACCGGCTAAGCTGAAAGTATTCTAGTGAGACTCCCCACGGGGATAGATCGATCTAAAATCTGTGGGAATGGGGTCTAAGTCTCTGGAAATGCAGTCTAAGTGTCGCCGGATTTTTTTTTTTTAATTAAAATGCACGTCATTACTTTAGTTGCTCAAAGTGTTTCGTAATATTAAGTCATTAATTAAATATTCGACTTAGTGTTATCCATTTTAGCAAAAGAACATAGTGTTGATAGGTCACAGTCAAATGTTTTAGACGTTTTAGTTCCATTAAACTTGATGGTCTTCTGGCATGGACCCTAGTCTTCAGTTCATCCCACAAATTTTCTATTAAATCCACATGCGGGCTTAAGGCAGGCCAGTCCATGACATTCACTTTGGCCTTCCGGAGGTAGGTCTTCACCAGAATGGAAGTATGTTTAGGGTCGTGGTCCTGCCCAAAGCCCGGACTTGAATCCAATAGAAAATTTGTGGGATGAACTGAAGACTAGGGTTCATGCCAGAAAACTATCAAGTCTAATGGAACTAGAAAGATTTGCCAAAGAAGAATAGGCTAAATTTCCCCAGGAGGTGTGTCAGAAGCTTGCCCAAAACTACCGCAAGCGACTACAGGCTGTTATCAACCAGAAAGGATACACAGTTGACTATTAAAAGGGGGGGAAGACTAATAATTTTGACCTTGGTGAATTTTTAGTTTTGTTAAAAAATTACATTTCTGTGTCTGAAATAAAAGAATGTAAACCTCCAAAATAAAGCAAGTTTGTTTAAAAATATTGTGTTCAAATTTCTTTGTTCTGTAATAAGTGCTTGAAAATTAGTTGAAAAGGAACAGATTTTTCCTGGAGGGGGGGGAGGGGTAATAATTTTGTCCTCAGCTGTATCTTTAACGATTTTTTCACTTTTTTGTTTCGCTGATGCAAAGCCCCCCCCACCCCCCCACTGGGCCGCCACTGCTCTCACTACATCTCTCTATGTCTTTCACCATCTATCTGCCTCTCTCTCTATCTGCCTCTCTCTCTCTCTCTCTCTCTATCTGCCTCTCTCTCTCTCTCTCTCTCTCTCTCTCTCTCTCTCTCTCTCTCTCTCTCTCTCTCTCTCTCTCTCTCTCTCTCTCTCTCTCTCTCTCTCTCTCTCTCTCTCTCTCTCTCTCTCTCTCTCTCTCTCTCTCTCTCTCTCTCTCTCTCTCTCTCTA